CACCTCCGTCTCTTCGTCGTCTTTGTAAACCTATTCTCTTCTTTCCTCTCCTCCACCTACTCTTCATACACCTCCGTCTCTTCGTCGTCTTTGTAAACCTATTCTCTTCTTTCCTCTCCTCCACCTACTCTTCATACACCTCCGTCTCTTCGTCGTCTTTGTAACCCTATTCTCTTCTTACCTCTCCTCCACCTACTCTTCATATACCTACGTCCCTTCATCAGTTGAAATGGCTAGAAGTAATCGTAAGTTCTATGCTAACAGTTGAATGTTTCGCTTGTGGAACTCTCTTCCGTCTTGCTTCCAAGTCAAATTTCATCTTCAAAAATTTAAATACAGTGTCAATCGTCATGTTCTCTCTTCTTTTTATTGTTGTCTCTCCTTAATATTTTTTCTCATATTCCTTCACACTGAGTAACTACCTCCGTCTGAGTGGCTTTATCGCCTTGCTTAGAGTGAAAAATTTTTAAACCTCCCCCCCGTCTTTTCTGTCCATCTCTTCTCTTTTCTCCCATTCTTCCTCCTTCCCCCACTCTTACATCTTCTATATATTTATCAACTCCTTCCTTTCTTTCTATGAGGTCATGTACTCTTCTCTTCCTATACCTCTCCTCTTCCTACATCTTCTGCTCTTCATGCTCCTCTTTCCTCTCCTCCATATACTCTTCCTCCTCTTACACCTCTTAATCTTTGTCTATTTTCTTCTCCTATAACTTTCCCTCTAATCCACCTCCCACCGCAATTGCGTGTTTATCAACGTTGCTCTTTCAATTCTTCTACCTGCCCTCTCTTTGTCTCTTTCGTCTTTTCGCTCTTCTGAAATTATGTTCTTTTTTTTCTTTTCATTTTCTTCTCACTTACATATTATTATTCTTTATAAACCTTCTTTCTTTCCTCCTTGCTTTCTTTCTTTTTCTTTATCACCTTATATTCATCTTCGCTATCCTCTTCATTTTAACTTCTCCTCAACATCCAGTTAACGTTTAATCATCATCTTACTTCGTCATCTTCTTATATTTCTCATTTATTATCAGTTTTTCATATTCTTTTTTCTCATTTCTTTGTTGCTTCTCTTTCTTTTTTCTTGCCTCCTACTGATTTCTTTTTCTCCTTCTTCATCTTCTTCTTCTTCATCTTCTTCTTCTTCATCTTCTTCTTCTTCTTCTTCATCTTCTTCTTCTTCATCTTCTTTGTCTCCTTCATCATCATCATCGTTTTTACTTAATCATCATCTTCTTCATCTTCTATTTCACCTTAATCTTCATCATCATCATCATCATAATCTTCTTCTTTTCTTTCACTTTGTCCATACTTTCTTCTCTTCTTTCTTCGTTTTACTTTTGCCTTCACTTTTCAACTTTTTTTCTATTAATATTATTAGCATATATCTCTCTTCCTATCTATCTCAGATTATATATGCATGCATATACACACACACACACACACACACACACACATATATATATATATATATATTTGTATATATGTGTATATATATATATATAGAGATAGATAGATAGATAGATAGATATATGTGTGTTTGCGTCTGTGCGTGCGTGTATATGTGTATGCAAGTTTGTTCCGATTTACGCATCGACTACTTGTTCATATCTAACTCTCTGTCTCTCTCTGTCTCTCTCTCTCTCTCTCTCTCTATATATATATATATATATATATATATATATATATATAGACATTTTTATGTTTATACGTTCTTTTTTTATATACAAATATTTAAGTAAATATTCTGTTTATAATAAACAGTATTAATGACATTTACCGGCCTGAATGTCCAAGAAATTGTCATAGAAAATAGGCGTCCTCCGACAGAAATCGAAACTGTATCCTACACGGGACCATCATATAGTCTGACGTGCTTTACCGATTTAGCCACAGCTAACCGAAACGCTCCTATGTGGCTAAATCTGTAAAGCATATAAACATATATATATATAATTATCTCAGTCTCTTCATATCTATCTATGTATCTATTTTGATAGCAATTTGTAGTCGTTTGAAGTTGTTTCATTGTATATAGGGCCTTAAGTGTGATTTCTGCTGGAATGAAATCTCAGAAATAAGGAATAACGAATTAAAGAATTAGAATGGCAATAAGGAATCTACTGGATGAAAAAATGAAACATACGAGATTTAGTTTGGGGAGCCGGAAACTCATTTTTAAAAGGCGGGCAAAGGTGAAGAGGAAATTGGGAAAGAAGTGGTGACGTCATAGTGGGAGAAGACGCTTTTCAACAAATGCTGAACAGAAACAAATTACAATATCCTCATCCTAAGCATGACCTCCTTAATCACTTGTACAGACAGAAAACGGGGCAAAGATACGTTAAAAAGGGATTACTAAGATGAAATCAACAAAGCCATAACGTAAGTCAGGATTAGGGAAATCAGTTTGGTACGTTTTCGCGTTGCCCATTTGTTGTGGCTGATTCGGCGTCAGAAAAATAATTGGACGATTCGTTTAGGCATCAGACGTCATTGTCTTTGAACGGAGGCACACCCACCGCCGACCAAAACAAAAGGATAAAAGCATGAGAAACAACCAACTTTCAATATGGCTTTTTATTCATTTAGGGAATTAAGGATGCTACTAAAACACTAATAGAATAATGTAAATTAAAAATTTCATTTAAAAATATTGTATTTAAAAAAATTAAAAAACTTATTAAAGGTATCCATCTTGTATCACTTTGTTTCTTCTACGTTTTGATAAAATATTTGGTACCATTTTAGAATAAAAGGGCTTTGATGACTGAAAAATATGAAGCTGCCTTGAAGGAAATATAATATAAAAATACCTCCAACAACTCCTTTTCTTAAATATAAAAATACCTCCAACTACTTTTCTTATATATAAAGATACCGCCAACAACTCCTTTTCTTAAATATAAAAATACCTCCAACAACTCCTTTTCTTAAATAAAAAAAATACCTCGAACTACTTTTTTTTCTTAAATTTAAAAATGCCTCCAACTAATCTTTTTCTTAAATATAAAAATACCTCCAACTCCTCTTTTTCTTAAATTTAAAAATGCCTCCAACCAATCTTTTTCTTAAATTGGACTATTCGAGCATATAATGACGAAGTACTAATTTGAATAGAGAGAGGGAGAGAGAGAGAGAAAGAGAGAGAAAAAAGTGAGAGAGAACGAGAGAGAGAGGGGGGAAAGAGATCAAATTTGACTATAACGACGAAGTAGTAATGTGACGCCTAATCGTCCCTCTAATGAAAAATTCCTATGTCGAATCGCCCACGCCGAATCGCCCACGCCGAGTCGCCCACTCCGAGTCGCCCACTCCGAATCGGCCATGCCGAATCAGCGACGCCAAATGGGCTACGCCGAAACGTCCCATTCCCTAAGGAAATATTGCAATTGTTTTATTTTGAAATTCTTTTTGAATTATTATGACTTATTTCTTTTCAGTGCATATGATTCAGGGCGTAGAGAATCATAACTCTCCGCGGATTCCTTTTCTTTATCAACAGTGCCAAAATGGAAAGCTGAATCTAACAGGAGAAAGGAAGGATCTTGCAGATGACCCCGTATCTGAACATCCTGCAACTACCACCACAAAACGAAAACATTGATCGATGACTGGTGATTGACTACAAATCCAACTGGCAATGGTATTAGCAAATCCAGTGAGAGAATTGAGTATATTCTGCCCAATGAACTTCACATGACGAAGGTTTTTGTTCGATGGTTGTTCTTCTTCCGACACGTAATCAAAAACACGCCAGGCTGATCAAATCACGAGAAAATCTGACATTGTTTGAAGCAGTTCCAGCTGGTTTACTTGAAAGTTTAGTGAAACTGCAGTAGCAAAAAGGTTCGTTTTCGTTAAAATTTATAACTGAAATTGCCATACATTTTATTTTAATTTAACCGTTTCTTCACAAAAATTACTTTTTGTCAAATGCTTGATATTTTTTAAATCACACGTACCCATACACACACACACACACATATATATATATATATATATATATTGTGAGGATTCGAATAAACTACTAAATTCCGTGGTGATACTCACCCAACCAAACTCAACTAATTGTTCCCTAAGAGCCACGCCATCTTACACCAGACCATTAAAAGCTGGATCAAGCAAGTATATACAAGTGCAAATATCGTGGGGATTTGAATAAACATTTATAGTAATTCATCGAATCTAGAAGAATCCTTAACAGAATGCAGAAAGCACTGGACGGTTTACGTCTTACCTAGAACTCATCAGCAGTGCATATCCATTACCGAGAATCGAACCCGGACCATTACAGTACAATGCGAGCGTCATATCACTGGACCAACGGGTTTCGGTTACGAAGAAGAAACTAACTAGACTCGGTATAGCGCTGCTACCCATCGAATCGAACCCGTAGTATCGTAACGGTCCGGGTACGATTCCCGGTAGTGGCTGCCCACTGCTGGTGAGTGCCAAATACGATGAAACAGCCGTCCAGTGATTACTGCATTCTGTTAAAGATTCTGCTATACTCGATAATTAGTATATATATATATATATATATATATATATATATATATATATATATATATATATATATATATATATATATATATATATATATATATATATATGGTCTGGACATTCGTATTCAATTATGCCTGTTGGTGTTGCAGAGGTCTGCTCAGGCACCTAGTGATTTTTCAACACCCACAGAGCCCGTCTACACAACTTCATTCACACGGCTTGGGTCAACCCGTGCTATGGTTTCCACGCACTTTCTAAATATGCCGAACGCACACACACACACACACACACACACACACATATATATATATATATATATATATATATATATATATATATATATATATATATTAGAAGGATTTTTATTAATCTGACAGATTTTATCACTTTAAAAGTTATTATTAGGGGATACTCTAGGTTGGGTAGACGCTCCGTTTTTAGTTTAAAAATAGTAAAATCTACCTTGCTAACTGAAACGCTCCTCTGTGGCTAAATCGGTAAAGCACGTCAGGCTATATGAGTTTAAACGTTATTATTAGAGGATATTCGTGTGCTCCGCTTATATGTAAAACAGTATATTTATTCATTTTCACCTACCGGCCTGAAATTTTGAGAAAACTTATTGAAAAAAAAGAGTGCGACGTTTTCTTTAATAAGATTTCCGACCAAAACTTTTTAGAAATTAAATCAATGCGTCCAGACGATAGAAAAAGAAAAAAACAGAAAAAGGAAAAAGCTTTTATGTTAAAAAAGGAAGAAAGAATAATAAAATTAATTATTTCATTGAGTCAGGTTTCATTGAACAAATTAAACAAGTTTTGTCTGCTTATTTTCAATAGGATCCGTTTATTTTCTCGGATGAGCTTTTTAGTGTCGATATTAAAAGAAGAAAGAAAATTACCCTGTTGATGCCTATTGTTTTATTTCAAGTACTTTCGACAATCGTGGGGAGGGGGTTTAAGATCAAAATGCAGTATCATTATTTACAAAGACAAAATTGCTATGTTTATCTGAAAGATATAATTTTACCTACGGAGTGAGGAACACTAATTTTTGTGCCATGCGGTGTATGTTTACGCTCTAGGGGAGGTAACTAATTATGATGTGTGAAGGGTTCTTTTTGAAAAGGAAGAAAATAGCATGAGAAACTATTAATATAGGCCTTGATCTTTTAGTCTATCTATTGTACACATTTTAGAACATTTGTACAGTATTGCTAATTAAGTTTGTTATGGTTTGGTTTCAATTTTTTAATAAAAATATCTCTAAGGTCTTTTAGTTTGTTCAATATTTTCATGAAAAAGTATGGATGTATTTTCGACAAGTATTTTTCTAAATTGCAAATATGGACAAGCATGTTGTTGTAAATGTTTATAGATATTAGACATGTTGTTGTAAATGTTTGGAGATATTAGACATGTCATTCAAATAAAAACTCAACCGCCGAGATAACGTGGTCGTAGTATGGCCAATATAAATATTTTTTTTTTCCGTTGGAGTTACAATCTCCCGGTTGGAAGCATCTAAATTTATATACAATGTTGGTTTTCTGCAAGACAATGGTGAGTCGTTAAGAGTGAAAAAATTGGATATACTTGTTTTATTTTAGTATATAATTAATTTAATTTTTACTAGCATCCGTGGTGATATATTGGTATTTATTAAGGAGATTTTCGTCTTGTTTATAATTAGAATGTATTTGGTAACGATATAGAAGATTAATATGTTTGGGGTTTGTTGAAGCAGTATTGTATTCAATTTGCTTTATATTAGTATTGCTGATAGAGCATTTTATTTGTTCATCAACAATATAATTAGGAAAGTTATTATTAATAGGTTTCTTTTTTTTACTTCACCGTGGAAGATCTGTTTTGTGGATGAATTCATTTTTGTACGGTTTATTAATTTTATATATATATATATATATATATATATATATATATATATATATGTATATATATATATATATATAATTGCTATATTATAATAATTTGGACATTGACTCTTATAGTTAAGGGTGCTCGAATTTATACTGGTGAGATTTTTTATAAGGGGTGATAGTGAATTAATTATGATTAGTGTTTTTTTCAATATATCTAGAAAAGGAATTCTATTACTATTATTAAATTCGTGCGTAAATTTAAGGACCGAATTATTTTTAAATTGTTTATGGTATTGATGTATTTCATCTATATTTTAAGTAGGAGGGCTTTTTAATTTGCTAAATGTATTATTTTCGAGATTAGACATGTAGAAATTGCTAAAAATCGGACCCAGAAGTGAACCCATGGAGACTCCGTCCCTCAATATATATATATATATATATATATATATATATATAAGGGTTTAAACAGTAATATTCCATGGTTATAATTTATTATATTGGAATCGTAATTACGATCAAATTCATCAGACCTAAAAAATCAAAAAGAAATCAGAAAAAATAACCCCGAGAATAAAAAATATAATTTAGTGAGAGTGTATGCATGAGAGTAGGGGACGAATGTGAGATGTAAATGAAAGCTCTAGAGAGGGGGGTAACAGACGAGAGAAGAACAGGTAGGCCTAAAGGTGAAGGTGGGGATTAAAATTTAACAGAGAGAAATTTTAAAGAGAGGAGTTAAATGACAGTTTAAATGAGTGAGAAACAGATAAATATGAATTATTTTCCGATGCATAATTCATTACTGAATCGCTGACGTAAATTAAATTAAAATCCGACACTGGAAATGGGTGTATACATTTGTGGTGACACTACGCACGATGATCTAAATCTAAACTTAAAAATCAAAAGATGAGAAAGAGAGAGAAAAAAGAAAAGAAAAAAGGGGGAAGATGGGGGTGCAACTAAAACCGAAGGACATTCGTAAAAGAGTCGCTGCGCAATCAAGAAAATTTGACAAAAGTAATATCAACTACAGGTTACAAATTTAATATAAACATATAAAAAATAACGAATATTTAATCTAGCAAGGACCTACTATTTCTAACTAGAAATAGGAGGTCCTTGCTAGATTAAATATGCGTTATTTTATTTTTTATATGTTTATATTAAATTTGTAACCTTATATATATATATATATATATATATATGTATATATATATATATATATATTACTTTTATGATCGAGAATGGGACTTCGATATTGCAGAACTTGTAGTTTTGCAAGAGAGTAGCTATTTATCATTGTTTGTTTATAGTGGAAAGACAGTACTTGATGGACAATGAGATGCATTGGCATAAAAAATACAATTCCGTTCCAAAAGGGATTTTTTTTTATTTTTATCATTCCAAAATAGCTCCTGTCAAATATTGACTTCCGGAAATGCTTCAACTGCGTATTTGGAACAAACCTATGGAAGTCATTTCAAAAATATTGAATCAGTTAGTAGGTCGGCTGCTAGGAAAGTTGATCCACGGTTTGACGCTACCAATTTTTCTTTCCAGAACCTGTCTTACATCTTTTTAAGTCTCCCATTTGTCTATGAATTGAATATTTTTGTCACATCTGTTCTGATGCTTTTGCTATCCATTCAGAAATTCTTCATAATATACAAAAAAGCTTCTGCAACACTACTTACATTACTCGGACTATTGCCCTCATCTTTGTCGCCATATTTATCACAACGTTTCGGCCTTTCAGTATCTGTCTATATGTACATTATTTACATTATTCGGACTATTGTCCTCATCTTTGTCGCCATATTTATTACAACGTTTCGGCCGTTGTACGCTCCGACCTTCTTCAGGTGGTTAGAATGTCGAATTGAACCCTTTATTTCGCTCACTGGGGTAAACTGTTCTAGTTCCACGTGCCATGTTTTATAATGGATGTCGGTTATCAGTTATCTCCTGTTAAAGATGAGGACTATAGTCCGAATCATATAAATAGTGTACATAATACCTCATCTCAGAAATATAGACAGATACTGCAATGTTATCGGTCCTGACCTGGCTTCAGTCAATTTCCTACAGACGTAATGTTGCTACTCTGTGCTTTCCTATAAAGATTTTCATGGTAAGCTTGCTTCTTCTTTGGTAGCTTTACTTCATGAAATTAAACGTGGTACTAGATTGGAAGCAATGCATCATCATTTTATAGTTGAAATGGCTAGAAGTAACCGTAAGTTCTATGCTAACAGTTTCTTCTCTCGCACATCACGCTTGTGGAATTCTCTTCCGTCTTATTGCTTCCCAGTCAACTATGATCTTCAAAAATTTGAATTCAATGTCAATCATCTTGTTCTGTCTTCTTAATTCCTGTTTGTATTTTTCTCTCTTCTTAAATTTTCTTTCTCGTATTCCTTCACACTTGAGTCTAAGTGGATTTATCGCCTTCCTCAGAGTGAAATCTAAAAAAAAAAACGGGTTTCGTGTGCTGAATGTTAATCCATTAATGCCCACCATGGGAAACTATATATTGATTGGTTAACTAAATCAAAATCCAGATTTGGTAGAATGGAATCGAAACGGTTCTATGCTATAAAGACACGAGACAAAAATTTCTACTAGATTTCAAGAAATGTATAAATGCAATGGTCTTCGGAAGTCGTGTACAATATGTCAGCTCCCTGATAGAAAAGTCGGCCATTTCTACTTGAGCATAATTATTGTCTATCCCCGATATCCAAGTTATGACACGCTCCTTGCAGAGACAAATAGGTTTTACCAGCTGAGCTAGATACCCTGTCCAGTCGTAAGAGAACTAACTGGAAGCCATAACGAAAAAAAAATGGACGGAGTGTAAAAATTGAATAATATATTTTCCTTTTATTTTTCATTATTTTTCTGTCTTTTTACGCTTTATTACGTCCCTTCTTTCAGTTTTGTTGGGTTTTCTTTCGATTTCATTCATTTTGTCATTCATTTTGTCATTCTTATTTTCAGTTACTTTCATTCTTTTCTTATTCTTGCCTTCAGTTCTCCATTTTGTGGTGGGGATATTTTTCATAAAAGTCTCCATTTTTAATTATAATTCATTTCTTCGTCCTGATTGGACGTTTTATGGCGGAAGCAATTTAATCGAAGGCGAAATGATACGGAAATAAACGAAAAAGTGAAAAGGTCGTCAGGTGAAATGAATCCGGGAATGAATGGTCAGCACACATGAAAGAAATTGGCAAAGACAAAAAAGAAAGAAAGAAAGAAAGAAAGAAAGAACCAACTGAAGAAAAGAAATAAAATCTGGTAAATAATAATAATAATAAGAAGAAGAAGAATAAAACCTTCATGATGAAAAAAATACAACAACCCAAAATACAAAAGAAAAAAGAAAGAAGATTCAAAAGAAAGTGAGGTAAAGAAAGAACGAAAAAAGAAAGAAAATGTATAAAGAACAAACGAAAGGAAGGAAATTAAAATGACAGAAAAAGAAAACAACAACAACAACAACAATAATAATAATAGACCTACATAGTAAAAAAGGACAACATCCCAAAGTACAAAATAAAAAAGAAGGTTAAGAAGAAAGTGAGAAAAAGAAAAAACGAGAAAAGAAAGAAAGTCTACACAAATAAAGAAATAATGATCCACAAAGAAAGAAAGCAACAAAAAAAAGGCAAAAAGGAAGAAGGAAAAAGAAAAGAAAGAATAACCTAAAATTATAAAAATAAATATCAATGGCGGGCAAAAAGCTACAAAGAAATTCTATACTCTCTGAATTTTAGTGAAGTTTCTCAATAGTAGAAGCAGCAATAATAATAATAGAATATTTGGACTGAAGTTGTCAGAATATGAGATGTCTAGGTCATTATTATTCCAGTTACCATTAAAGCGACCTTTCTTTCTTTTTGTGTGCCATGTCTTTTCAGGACATAGGCGATCATGGCTCTCCACCTCCCTCTATCCTTTGCAGCTCTCAAAAAGTTCCTTTCCTCTGCCACCTCCCGCAGACCACGTTCAGTCATTCACTTGCTTAAGGCCGCTAGGTATGTCATGCATTGTTTTCCCTTGTCTCCCTCTCTCCCTCTATTCGACCTGTGAGTATCAAATTCTCCAGGCCCTCCTTCCTTATTATTTGTCTCAGGAACTTCAGCTGTCTCTTCCTGATGATAAGCCTTCTCCTTGTTTGCAGTCTCTCTAAGACCTCATCATTGCTTACACGCTCGGTCCATGATATTCTTAGCATCCTACTGTAGCACCACATCTCCATCGCCTCGAGTCTCTCTTTCACCATTGAACTTAAATTAAAACATTGAGAAAATTAGAATAATTCCATCATAAAATTTGATGGAGTATATCCATAATGTATGAAAAACTACGTTGATGAAGAATATATATAATAATAATAATAATAATAATAATAATAAATGGCCTCCAAAGATACTCGGAAACTACAGAAGACTGGATGATGGTATGTGTCAAAGAATATGAAAGTAGTAAGCGTCTTTACTCCGTAATAAAGGAAGCCAACAAGTACAAAATGGAGTTTCAAATGGGCGCAGAAATACAAGTAAAGCACAATACAACGGCTGAAGCTGCAAAATACTTCAAAAAGACAGCAAAGACAAATGCAACCGACCAGATACAGAAACAATGACAAGATAAACCGCTTCATGGCCAATACTCTGTCCGTACCAAACAAGCTGAGGTAGACAAAACCCGTACCCATCAGTGGCTACGTAGTGCAGGGTTGAAAGCTGAAACTGAAGGTTTTATCCTTGCTGCACAGGACCAATACTTGTTAACTAGAAATTATCAAGCACATATACTAAAATATAGTGTTAGCCCAAAATGCAGATTCTGTGATAAATATCCAGAAACAATTGATCATTTTGTATCAGGTTGCACGATATTGGCATCCACTGAATATAAAACCCAGCATGACAAAGTGGGCAAATATCTGCACGGGAAAATCTACAACTTCTACGGAAATATATATATATATACTTTAAAAATCAAGAGGTCAGTTGAATCCGCTACGTTGGTTACAACCTTACGATATACTAGGCGATATTTAGCAATTGACCTCTTAACGCTTTAATATTTTCTTTTTTTTTCATTAATATCTGTTAGTTCTGCAGAAGTCACAGATATTAATGCCCAAAATAAAAGGTACATAGAATGTACTGAAAGTACTTTCAACCGTACAGTGTACAATCATAGGTCGTCATTGAAGCTAGTAAATCTTAGGTACTCTACCAAACTATCTGACCATGTGTGGGATTTTTAAAAAAACGACAGGTATCCGTTTGTAAGCTGAAAATTTTTTAAACCCCAACAATATTTGCAACCTTCACCAAAAGAAAAAATTAGCAATTATGACATTTCCGGGTCCAAAGAAACTTTTGAACTAGAAATCCGAAGTCTTGAGTCCTTGCATACATATTACGAAATTCCTCTTAAGCACATATGAGGCTGGATAAAAAAATATACCATTTCAATTAACCCACCACCGATACTTTTATAATACCCTTGCTTTTATTCTCTTCTCCCTTCTTTTCTTCTTCTTCTTCTTGTCCTTCCTTCTTCACATCCCCTTCTTCATTTCATTCACACCCAACATCGTGCGTTTGTTTATTTATTTTTTTAAATAATATAGCGCTTATTATTTTTTTTAAATTAAATAAAGAGTTAAGAGTTCATTTGAAAAAATCGCCTGATGTTGTAACCAAGGTAGTGAATTACACTGACCTCCTGATTTTTAAAGTTAAAAGCTCTACATGTTATTTTTATTTTATTTTTTCACATGTCTATTGAGCACTTTTTAATACCCCTGTTTCCTAGTTTGATTCAACTCTTAAATTTTTATGTATATATATATATATATATATATATATATATATATATATTGAACAATAAGAAAATAAAAAATTAAAAAATTAAAATCATTAGACACACTGGGTTGTAGATTAATATTCTTTCGTTTTTTTTATTATTATTATTCCATTTAGATTCCTCGACTAGTTTCGACCGAAATGGCCATCATCGGGAGGAGAAATATTTCTGCTTGCTGTTGGCAGTGAACTACAGAAATGAATGTCTTTTGTTGGAGAAAATGAACTTTTGTCTGTAGTTTTCATTTGTTTTTTTTTAATTTTTTTTATCTTTTTCACATGAATCTTTTAACATTCCTTGTGTTGGTCAAACAGTCTCTTTTAAGTTGTTATTTGAGATAAGAACTGGATAGATACATTTTATCCTGAATTCTCTGGTCAGTTTGACAGTTTTATTGGACCTGGTGAGGGATGTGTCTCTGTTTAGTGTTTTGTGTGTGTTATTTGGTTCATAGGGGGTGAGTGAGTATGATATGTGTAAGCGTGTGTATTGCTGTAGGTGTGTGTTATCATTTGGCTCATTAGGGAGTGAGTGAGTATGGTGTGTGTACGTGTGTATAATCGTGTGGGTGAGTGTATAAGTGTGAGGCCTCCATTCCTACGTGGGCATGTCTGTCTTGTGTGGGTGAGAAATGTGGGTAGGTTTTGATTTGTTGATTGTTACTATTATATATTGTTAAATTTATGATTTAGCCAGGCTGGGTATTGTGTTTTTAGACGTTGTATCCACTTATTTTCATGGGACTCTAAAATCTTTCTAATGTTATCTGCTCTGAACTTTTCTATTCTCTCAATTATAGTGAATCTGGCATGGGTTTTGAAATCGTGTTTTTCTAGGCGGAAATGTTGTTCTACAGGTAATAACTGTTCATAGGGAGTCGATTTAATTCGCTTACGATAATTATTAATTCTCAGTTAAAGGGCCATTCAGATTTTCCTACATATTGTTTCTGGCATAGTGTGCATTCTAGGAGGTAAATTATGTTTTGACTCTTACAGTTAGAATCGTGGTAAATTTTGAAAGTAGATTTAGTGATTGAGCTAGTGAATGTATTCGTGTTTTTAATATGGTTGCAACATAAACTTCTTTTGTTGTTACATGGTTGGGAAAATCCTGTTGTTTTTGTTCTCAGTTCCTTACGGATTACCTTGTCCCCTGAAATGTGGTTACTACCTATGATTTCTTTTAGGTTCTTAGGTCTACGATATGCAAGAAGGCCGGGTTCCTTAAGCAGTTTTTTTAGGTCTGGTTTGAGATGTAGTATTTCCCAGCGACGTTTGATTATTTGGGATAGTGGAGGCAGAGTGGGATTGAAAGTGGTTACTAGAGGGATGCGGCTAGATTTATTTTTAATCTTGTATATTAGGGTGTTTTCTCTAGGTGTGGAAATTGCTTTATTTATTTGTTCCCTGATTAGGTGTTGTTTATAGCCACGTGTTGTGAATTGATGCTCCAGATTTTCAATATGTTTATTTAATTCTTCATTGTTGGAACATATCCTTCTGAGTCTAAGTGCTTGTGAATAGGGAAGGTTCTCTTTGAGGTGTTTAGGGTGGGAAGACTTAAAGTGTAGATAGTTGTGGGTGTCGGTGATTTTTAGTGTGTAGTGTCGTTTGTAGTTTCCTGTTTTCATCTATGTAAATGCGGGTGTCTAAATATATATATATATATATATATATATATATATATATATATATATATATATAGTGTATTGTGGCAGCAGATCATTATTCAAAGATATATTATGAAATATAACAAGCAAAAATGTCTATTATGTTTGATCGTGGGCCGTTCTAAACTTCGTATAGTTTCTTTAATTTAATTTAATTTAATATGGTTCTATTGTTAATATTTCGTTCTGTCACGTGGTATGACGTCATAGAACCGCATCTTGAACTTACGACCTGTGTCTGATATTCCGCGAACATAATCATCGCAAAACAATCTTCTATGTCAACATAACAGGATATCATCTTTGATGGTGAATATCGTTATTTACATATCCATATAACCAATCCTGAAGATGGCTCATGTGAGCCAAAAGCTTAGATCAAGAAACAGCATAATAAAAATAATATCCAAATGTTGCACAGTTTTTTCTTTATTTTCTCCCGAAATTAAAGCAACTATACGAAGTTTAGAACGGTTCATGATCAAACATAATAGACATTCGTTATCTGTTTTATTTATCAATACATGTTTGAATATACATACACACACACACACATATATATATATATATATATATATATATATATATATATATATATATATATATATATATGTATGTATATGTATGTATGTATGTCTGTATGTATGTATGTATGTATGTATAAATATAAATATTAATTAAATAAAGAGATATGTGCAACCATACATGCGTGTGTTTACGTTCATATACAGATTTGTAAATAAATATTTATTTAATTTTTTCTGTGTCGAATGTAATGCAACAGAGATATAAAGTATATGTTAGTAACTATACATACACGACTCATAATTTCACATGTGTATAATCATCAGGTACTAATAGTTATGAATATATATATATGTGTGTGTGTGTGTGTGTGTGTGTGTGTGTGTGTGTGTGTGTGTGTGTGTTTAGTTTTTCAGCATTCTTACATTTTTTTCGTTTGGTGTGAGTAAGGGAGTGTAAAATACAGTGATCACCCACTTTGCGTCCATCGAATTCGTATTTTCTATTGTCCTAAGCGCTTTCGGCAAATTCTTTAGCCATTTTCAAGGTTGATGGGTATCCAAACAATTGAGCAGTTTATGAATATCGCGAAGGGGTTTGTTCAAATCGTCCGAGTAATAC